AAATATGTAGAAGTTTATTTAAATTTAAATAAATTACATTTGCAAAAGCCAGTCTTTATATTACTAATGCATTTGTATAATTATTTCATTACATAAAATATTCTTAACTAAAGTAAACATATAATGTGCACAGTTAATTTTAATAAAACATAAATGGGCTGTTTTAAAAATTAACTCAAATTTAATTTTTCATGCAGTATTTTTATTTTTTCATAACTAGCCTTATAGTGTTTATAACTAGTTAAAATTTCATTGAATTGTTTATTAGACACTTGTAGGTACTGCTCCTTTAGTTCTCTCAGTTTTAAAATTTCATATTTAGATTTCTTCTGCTGTTCTTTTAATTCTTTTATAATCCCTTTATAAGATGCTAAAGATGATTTTGTCTCCGTAAAAATTCCTAAATTGACCTTACTATTTAAAACTTCAGCTCGTAATCCATACATTTTGTTTAAATAGTTGTATTCCTGTACTTTTCCTTGACAGCAACTTGGAAATTTATTCACACGTAGTTTTATAAAATCTTCCAATATTTTATAATACTGTATCAAATTTTTATAGTATAAATCCTGTTGCTTATTTAACTTAAGCTTTTCTTCAAACAAAATTTTTACAGGAAGACTTGGGTTCAAATAAGAGGACAACTTTAAATGAGAATCCATTGAATCATACTGGGGTATGTTTGCTTTTTCTAAATTACAGGTAAAATCAGAAAATCTTTTAGACAATGTTTGCTGCACTACATTCTTCAATTCATAACGTTCTTCAGAAGTTAACTCAACGGGAGAAATTTCTAAAACCCCTAGAAGTTGTGAGCTAAGAGATTCATATGCAGTTAAGTTTTTTATTTCTAAACAAGTATTCACTCTGGCTGTAAATACCACCTTTTCAACTTTTTGTTTCACATTTTCACTGATAGAATTGTTTTTTATCGAATCGGATATTATTTCGATTAGAATACAGTAGGAATTAAACTTTAGCCGTTCCTGCTTAATAGTTTCTAATAAGTTGTTAATTTTCTGTTGGATGTTACAGGAATCGACTACACTTCCATCAAACATCTCAGTTGAAGGTAATTGGAGTGAATCAACATTTTTAGACATTTTATCTTACACTGTATATTTAATTATTAATAGGTAAATTTGCACATACAACTTGCTTATTATTTGTACAAATTAAACTTATTTATTCTGCTATCTTATGTCCGTTTTAAATTTGCCATAAGCCTTATTATTTATGGGTTTTGACAGCCTACTAACGCCTACTAAGCACCTAAGCAGTGTTGCCAATGGACGCCTATATTGAGTAGTATGAATCTGGTACCCGATATAAATAATTCGCTGATTTAAACTTTACCATTAAATTATGTGTTATTTGCAGTTTTTAAGTACGTAAGTAGTTTAATTGTGCGTCCACTATTTTTGTTAAAAAAAGGAAAAATTGTTTCGGGCGCAAGTGGAAATTCAATGTCAATTTATTCAAACAATATTAAAGATATCCTAATTTAATTGACGCAGATCGATTGCTCGTCATTTGTGCTTGAAGACAAAGGTATTATGGTAAGCAGAATATATCCTTATGTTATTTATTATTAATAACTACCTATAATACTTCATTATTCATTGATATTACTAATACGAATCCCTGTGTACCACTGATGAATTATAGATAGTGATATGATGACATGATCATAGATTAAAGATTTACATTATAGAGAAGTGATATCAGTATGCCTATGTATAAAATTCTAACTTTCTTGGGCCTCAGGCCTGTTGTAATTTTTCTTAAATAAATAAAATAAATAAACAATTTCTAATATATGACACGAATGTATTGTTTCGATCATAGACATAGAAAATGGACTGAGCAATTCTCTCATGAAATTGACCACTCTCTAGAAAGAGAGAAAACGACCTTGAAGTCAATACCTGTATCTTTCCCTTATTTTTCCGCTTCTGCAAGACTATGACGTAGACCAATAAAAATTCTATAAAAAAGACAACTACTGACCACACGACCGCTTTATCTCTATGTAATGTCGATGAAAAATTAACGATAAGTATTTATTTATTTGTAATTATTACTAATAAATAATATACAAACAAATTCCGCTTACCATAATAGCTTAGCCTTCAGGCACAAATGTCGCGTAATCGATTGTAATCAATTAATTTATGATATCTTTAATAGTTTTCGAACAAATTGACATTAAATTTCCATCTGCACTCGAAATAATTTTCCTTTTTTTAACACAACTAATGTAGGCACAATTATTATATTTACATATTCAGAACAGTTTATTGTTTGAATCAGAAGATTATTTATATCGAGTGCTAGATTTACACGACTGCAGAATTGAGCGTATTTCGATACCCCTCTGTTTAGTCGCTAGCTCCGCAGTCTTGGAGGGATTTTTCTTGCGGACGCCATTGCCCTTCAGGCTAAACTCGTCGAAGTAAACGAATTTATTCATTTACATTCATCCCCACAATCACCTATCCCCATAACCGAAGACATTGAGTCTTCATCCGCTGCTCCCTTACCGACGCAGTTTTCTCCCAAATGGATTCAATGCCAAGTTCTAAGTCGTTCAAGGCCATTTCCGACAGCTCCTTTAACCGTCTTCCGCACACCGACCAACGAGAGAACGACGGCTTCGTCAAAGCCGGCGAACGTGCCAACAAGCGCCCACGACAACAACATCCCCTCTTTATTGATGATTTTCGTCGTTTATCCTCTTTTCTGGACAAATCCAAAGTCCATTTTTCTACAAACCAGCTCCAGCAAGATCGTGACCTTCATGTCGTTATCGGTCGGCCACCTACCGCGGCTGTCCCAAGGTTCCCAAAAAGACCTCCCCTCCCCCCCAAGAAAATCGTCACTCCTGTTGCTTCCCAAGGCACAAGAACTACCCCCATACTTCTGCTACCACCTTGGCAATGCCTCCCCAAAAACCCCACGTCAAGGTAGTAAGAACTGTCCCCCCTCCTCCAACCCAAAAGCGCAACACAAGCACTTCTCCAGCTGTTGTTGCAATCCCAAGTTTGGAACAAAAACTTCAAGTTATTGTCCAAACCATGGTCGTCACATTATCGCCGCCCTACAACAAACCACCAATGTCTAACACCGCCCACCCAAACAATCTCTGCATAGTACCTGGAATGCGCAAAGCATTAAAGGTAAATTGACTGAACTCGAGCGCTTCCTCGATGATAAGTTAATCGGTGTTGTTTGCATCACCGAAACTCACCTGCCCGAAAAAATCAAACTTTTCGTATCAAACTTCTCATCCTACAGAAGGGACCGTGAAAACGGCAGTGCCGGCGGTGTCGCCATTCATGTAAGGAATTCCTTAAAACACAGGCCTATCTCTTTGGTCACAAACTCGTTAGAAACAGTTGGCATCGAAGTTTCACTAACTTCCGGCCCTCTTAAGATTATCTCTCTATACACCTCGCCTTCGGATAGAAACTTTTCTGAACTCATCCTCCTTCTCCTCCCTCCAGGCGTTCCAACTATCGTCGCAAGCGATTTTAACGCTAAACACGTCTTTTGGGGCTGTAGACAAACCAATAAAAAAGGCACTTTCCTTCTTGCCAAAGTTTTCGACTTCAGTCACAGTTGAATCCCCCTAACCCCACATTTCTCTCTACCCTCACAATCAATTCCCTGACATCCTCTACATTTTCCTATCGTCCTCTACATTTTCCTATCGTCCTTAACGCACTTAGCTCGGACCACTTTCCAGCTATAATTAATGTCGGCCGCCCAACCAACAACCCCCGAAATCCAACCACTTCACTAGACTGGCTACACATCCGCTACACCCTCGAAACATCTTCATGCAGGTGCACCCTAATTCGCACAATAGTGAAACTCGACGAAGGTCTGAATCTCCTTTCAAACGACATTACCAGCGCCATCGAGCTCTCTACTACATCCCACCCCACGTCCGCCCCAGACAAAACTCTCCCCGCAGATATTCTTGACCTCCTATTAAGAGGAAATACGTAATTTCCGCTTGTTAAATTTCGTCCCCACTGCTTCCAACATCAAACACACGTCCCTCCTTGAAATCTTCTTCACCATCCGATCTCTGAGAAAGAGAAAACCTTGGCGCTGACGGAATTACTCTAATCTGTCTATCTAGACACTACTCGACTTTCCTCCTAAACTAAACGACTGTTTCAGAAGACCCTGCCACATTCTCTTATGAGCTGTTCACCCTTGCTTAATTCTGGTTTCATTTTTTAGCGCGAGTGCCCACCCTACTCTTCATGGTGGGAGACACTCCCCTCCCCACTCATACCTCTCCTCTTACCAAAGAACCTTCCCTTGGGATGTACAACCTTCTTGTTGGTCTCCCTACTCGAGGAAGGGTTTTAGTCGGTTTCGCTTCGGCGAATCCGGCAGTATCCTCTTTCGGGAGTGTTTTTTGAAGATTTCCCCTCCTCGAGGAAACACTAAACAAAAACATTTGACGAGTTTGGGTACCCAAGGCGTGTAATAACCGATGGGGGATTAGCTTTTACTAGCAGAGCGTTTTATGAATGAGAAGGGCATTGATGGGGAATCGATCAAACGAAAATACCAGCCCTGAATTTTCTCCAGCAGACCGATTGTTCTCATATCGGATTAGGTGAACAGTTGATTTAAAAAGGAGTGATGACACTGTTAGAGCAGGGCGAGAGCGCTTGCAAGCAAATAGGCGTAAGGCGGGCGAGGGATTGAAAAGAGTGTCAAGTCAAATGAAGGCGAGATATGATAAACGGCGAAAGGTTGCAACTGAATACAAAGTAGGTGATTTGGTGTTATGACGTCAAACAGCTGCTAAGCTATGAGACAAGGGTTTTAACAGAATCCTATATCACTGACCTCTAGGTCCCATTTATATCATTGTTTCTGTAAACTCACTAGCTCATATTGCAATCGGGGAATCCCCTCTGCATCACAGATATTATTAAATAGCAGCCGCCAAAGCCGCCTATACACAGAACAAAGAATTATTATAATATAAAATTAATGTGGTATGTTCGGAAAAGTTAAATACCTAATAATTTATCTTAGCTCTTGGTATTTTTAAGGTAGGGCATTGCCCCACAATGCCCCCTCCCCAGCTGCGGCCGTGTAGCCAGATATATATTTTTTTGGACGTGCCTTAGCCGTATGTCGTAATAATTTCGTGGCTCAAAAAGTGAGGGAGATGGCATATGGTTTCGGACTAATGCTATCTCTTTCATGACACGCTTATGCACCATCGTGAGAGAGATGGATATTGTCCGAAACTTAATTCCACCTCTTTCTTTTGTTGTACCACAATTCTGACCGCTAAGGCATGTCCATTAGTAAACGTCGATGATGAGTACCATGATTCTATAGGTGATTCCATTATTCTAAGGTAATCTCTCTTATCTATGCTCTTATCTATGGGTAATCTCCAGGTAATCTCCAATTTCATTTATTTTTGTTTATGTGTCAAAAGTATTTGTCTAAAAGTTTATTGTGTTTAAAATATGGATTTAAATATTCAGAAACTACCGGTGTTCGTATTTCCACCAGCTTTAAAATTCTATCTTAATTCAAGACAGACTCATAAACAACTGCTGACACTGTATAATCCGTATGAATTCCCTGTTAGATTTAAAGGTAATGATGATTACATTATACTTCATAATTGAACTGGTAAATTAGAAATACGTTTGTAGTTTTGTGTACATCTCCTAATAAATATACTGTGATAGACCCAGAAGGTAGTATTGGACCATCAAAATGTGTCGATATTGTTATAAGACATACAATGCCTTTATTAGCTCATTGTAATATTACGGACAAATTTCGAATTACTTTGCAAGATCATACAACCAAACAGGTGAGCTTTAATCAACATGTATCATTGCCATAAATACTGAGGTGGAATTTCAATTTTATCTTTTCAAGAATATATGTCTTCAGGTATTGGGTAAAAGGGATATAGAATCTAAATTGTTACAAGCAGAATCCGATACTAGTTCAAATGATGGTGATAATTTTCACTCTTTACCTCATGCAGAAAAAGATCTAGATGAACCACGGAATGTTCAGTATCCAATTAAAAACATTCAAAGGTATTTTTTAATAAAAATAAAATTGAAAATGTTTTACATATTATGAAATATAATTAATGCACATAAAAAATAATTAAAATAAATATATGGGTTTATTTCATAAGCTTGACATATTTCGGTAGATACTATCATGCTCAGTAGTTAGTAAACACTGAAATCTAATACAAATTTTTCTGTATATTATGGGGAAAAGCTACCATGTATATTAATACATCATATTAAATGATTGTGATATGTGAACAATTATCTTCATGTGGTCATTTACTAATTTATCTAAATTTAAGGTTTATGCACCTAGAAAGGTACCAATAGACAATATTAAATACTCAAATTTTATGAATTTACTAGACAAACATATTAACTACAATAAAAAGGCATTGAAACAGTGTGGAAGTTTCTTATCAGAAAAACATTGAAATAAAATAAAAACAGTTCTTTAATTAATGTGAATATGTGTTTCGCTCATTACATTGTGAGAATTTTCAATGCAAGATTGACTTGGAAGAGTTTACCAATTACCATTATTTCTCTCGATAATATTGTTTTTATCTATGCAATCATCACGGATATCTTAATACTAAGTTTCCGTACAAATTATAGTTAAAATGAGTGGGGAGGAAGAGATTTCTGATTCTATTCTATTCTGGTTGTTCATTAATTTGACTGTTTGTATTAAGTGTTATTGATTTTCAGAAATTCTAGTAATGATAATTTTTGCTTTTATTTATAGCATTACAACTATATGTAGCATGTGTCTTATAAAGTCAGAGTGTCCCAAAGTAATGTAATGGTCTGAACCTCTCAACTACTAGTTTCCTATCAAATTTTTGTTTTTAGGTGTTCATTAATTTTAATTTCTTTTACTACTTGTTTGACTTAAAAGATAGCATCACATTTTTTACAGATTGTTTCGTAGATTCAACTTTTTTGTCTGATATTGGTTTTTGATTTTTATTTATCAATAGATTTCATAATGGACTATTCTTACATTCCACTGTGGATTCCTAGTTTCCTAGATATTTTTTTTTAATGTATGTTGAAGACTCAAAAATAATAATTTAGAAACTTGGCGTGATTTTCGATTTAATGCTTTGTCTACAATATTCACATTGCCGTTTTTTACAGCTATACATTTGATTGTGGCAATTTTTATGTTTAGGTAAAGGTAAATTCACTATATATATATAAATTGTTGTAAGTTGCTAATTTGGCTTTGGTAGGTACCTTCCTATGTACTATTATTGTATACGTTGTAGTCAGAGTCGTGATTACTTATTATACCGGATAGCGCCTGTCTCATGAAAGTGGTATAACTGCGTAGGCAACACAGCCATACCCAAGGTAGACAGAAAGTTGCGAGTACAGTTAGGCTAGTGGAATTAGTCAAAATGCATAATGTAAGTATGTAGAGGTAGGGAAAACTAGGTAGATGCATGTGTTAGGAATATCTAACTGAATTTTATTCCATTTTAAACAACTGGACCAGTGTAAAATGGAACGTTCAATGCAAAAAATCCGTAAAAAAGCAGTTTTTTGAACATAGGTTTGAGATTTTTATTCATAGACATGAAAATTTTACTGTTTGTAAGTGATAATTTGAGACGTGTTGCGTTCGAACATGCTCATGATTTGTTTAAGTATTCGCAAAGGTCGAAATTGCTTAAAATTTTAATTAATGTTTATGTTCAGGAAAAGCAGAACTCACAGATCGTTTTTGACTTTTACTATCTTAAAGTTACTATAAAATCTTTTTGATTTTTATTTGAAAACTGTTATAGGTTTCAATGGGCACTAATTAATATATATTTTACATAATATACAGGGTGTTTTGTGAACCAGAAGCAATAGGGAAACTCATGGTACAGCAGCATGGGTAAGCGACAAAAAAAATTTGTAAGATTTTTTCCATATGGCGTTGTTTATGGATGAATGTTTCTTTACGCGGAAGTCAATAAGAAATAAGCGAGATAGGTTAGTAGGACACCTTCTCAGGCATGAAGGTCTAGTCAGAGACATTTTAGAGGTAGAAACGGAAGTTAGGAGGGGTAGAGGTAGACCTAGAGTAGATAACTTTTTGCAAATAGTTAAGGATACGGGTTGCTCTAGCTTTAGGGAAATGCGAAGATTAACACAAGATAGGAAAGAGTGGAGGTGCATGTTCAACCAATCTTATGACTGACGATCTTATGATGATGTTGTATAAAGCAGCGCGTGTATCAAACATCAGTGCAAATGTTTCGCATAATCGTGTGACGATCGCTGCAAATAAAATACGTCAAATGCCGGAAGTTTTTGCGCGACTCAGAAATAAGTTTGGTAGACGTTTCGAAGTCTGTTTTCTACCACGGGGTTCGAATTTCGAACAATATTTGTAGTGTATGTATGTATGTGTGTATGTACTGTTATAGTTAATTTTTGTTTGTTATCGCAATTTACTGTACTAATACCTGTGTTGCCAGTTCACGCCCAGGGTAGACTTCGGATTATAACTTCTGTTTCTCTTACATTTTTTTTGTCCCTTAATTAGGCTGTTTTACTCATCATTTCCTATTGCATTTAGCTAATACCTTCCAAAGCTTGTCACCTATTTCAAAGACATCCTGCATAAGTCTGTCTGTTCAATGAACCGACACCGACACCGACACCGACACCGACACCGACACCGACACCGACACCGACACCGACACCGACACCGACACCGACACCGACACCGACACCGACACCGACACCGACACCGACACCGACACCGACACCGACACCGACACCGACACCGACACCGACACCGACACCGACACCGACACCGACACCGACACCGACACCGACACCGACACCGACACCGACACCGACACCGACACCGACACCGACACCGACACCGACACCGACACCGACACCGACACCGACACCGACACCGACACCGACACCGACACCGACACCGACACCGACACCGACACCGACACCGACACCGACACCGACACCGACACCGACACCGACACCGACACCGACACCGACACCGNTCCGTTATATAAAGAAAAGTACAAGTTAGTTTTACTTTTATTTATTTTCATACAGTACTATTTTGTCAGTACCGCTTCCGTTTTATAAAGAAAAGTACAAGTTAGTTTTACTTTTATTTATTTTCATACAGTACTATTTTGTCAGTACCGCTTCCGTTTTATTTAAAGCTATCTCCAAGTCCTCCTTGGTAGATGCTAATACTGCTATATCATCTGTAAATCTAAGCGTACTAATCTGTTGCCCCTGTATATCTATCCCGACAGATTTACTGTCTTTAATGATGTTGATCGCGTCTTCGATATATGGATTAAAACGTAGCGGTGACAGTTTGCATCCCTGTCTGACTCCCTTCCTAATATTTACTTCTCTACCATAAGTTTTATAGTGTGGTTATTTTATTTTTATTTATAAAACTGTCTTGTAATTTTTTAAATAACTGTTGTGGGTGTTTTTTTTTCCTACTAAGATCAAAAAGAGTTGAGTGTACTAATTATAGCGGCATCAAACATAACATTCAACCTCCAATCTTCTAAAAATTATTGTTTTTTGCAAGAAAACAAAATAAATATATATACAAAAAAATGCTAAGGTTTATTAAAGCCCGCTCTTCCCTATATGTACATACTGGGTGTTTGATTAAACGGAACCAAACCGGTTATCGAAAGTGAGTCTATTATGCCATTTTATCTTTCATTTAAACGCTTTGATACTCAGTTAGTTGCAGGACACTATATTCTGAGAGAAGATCGATTTCTATGGTAGAATTGCAAGACCAAAATCTTTTTGTCTCCGTTCTCATTCGTATAATCATTATATTCATATCTCTTAAATCGTGTATCGGGTTGCCACTTAGTATTTTTAAATTATCTGTAGGTGAACCCTATTATTCAGATTTAAAAATAATAATTTCTTTAACACAGGCTCTTAATTATTCTAAAGGATTAGACTACGAAAATAAGAAATTAGAGATATATAGGCAAATGGTAGGTCATTCGAAAAAGTCCGGTATTCCAACAACACAGGAATACACATCAAAATAATTCGTAAAGACCTGCAAATACTGGCGACGTTTCTATGAGAACTGTCTCTCAATTTAGACGACCAAATAACATCCAAAATCAAAGACCTAATAATTTCCAAAATCAGCAAGACTCAATTTCCTAGTCGAAGAATTAACAAATGTTGAACAAGACTCGTACGTTTATGATGAGTACGGAAATGCTTATCTACTCGTACAACCTCTTGATACCGATACCTCCTATGAATCTGACAATTTCACCGACGGTATTGTTGACGAAAATACCACCCAAGAAATTGAAAATGAAAATTATGGTTCACAGGCCTCGACAGACAAAATTACATTGACTTAGAAGAAGTTAACAATGCTTTAGTAAAAACACCTAGACTACTATACATTTAATCAAACGAATACGACTGCAAAATAGCGGAGTTTTAGACACTAATATGAACTCTTCTCTAGCTTTCAAATATTTTTCTGATTATTTATATAAAGAACGTTTCGAAGTCAAAACGGTTCAAGGAAAAATTAAAGGACAATACAAATTATACATTCCCTTGTTACATGAGTTTTCGACTTTCAGAAAATTTTCGGCGCATCACATCAGGACAACTGACGATTCACTTGTTTATTAAAAAAAAATTCTATTACCCTCAAAAACTCAAAGACAAAATTTAAAATCAGGTCAAAAAACTATTCAATGACGGTGTACTTGAACCTTCTATTTCTCCTTATGCTTTTCCTATTTGAATAGTACCAAAAAGATGGACGCATCAGAAAAAACATAAATGGCGCATGGTCATTGACTTTCGTAAATTGAAGAAAAAGACAATAGAAGACAAATACCCTTTACCAAGAATCTAAGACGTTTTAGACTGTTTAGGAAAATATTCCTATTGCTTTACTTAAGATTTAACTTCTGACTTTCTGCAAATCCCTCTCCACAAAGAGAGTACAGAAAAGACTGCCATTTCTACGGTCATTACGAATATGAATGTATGCTGTTCGGACTCAAAAACGCACCCGCTACATTCCAACCCATTATGGACACGGTATTACGTGACTTCTTATATAAATTTGCCTTTATTTACATGGACGACATTGTTATATATTCAAAATCACTACACGAACAAGTAGTACATCTAAAACAAGTTTTTCAAATACTGAAAGACGTAAA